CACGACGCTTAATCATACTTCTCTACAAACTCAACTGACACCCAGCAGAGACTGCAGAGCATTCCCAGCCATCAGGCTGTATTTGAAAAGTACATATATATATGGCATGCAGGAGCTGAAATATTTTACTTTGTTGTGGGTTAGCGTTGTTTTGGTCACAAAACACGGCACCAAGAGAGTCGCTGTGAAGAACGTTAACTCATCCCATACAGATCCAGCACATTTTTAAAGGCTGCTTAAAAACAAATTTATTTGTCAATTTTTTTCTTTTAATAATAAAGTTTTAAATTGTTCAACTTACTTTATTCCACTGAGGTGCATAATACTTAAAACAATGGTTGCCTTTATAAAAAACAGAATAAAAAAATCCACCATCTCTGCTATGAACCTGTGTGCCAGCGAAGGGATAATGAACTCCTGACCTGTAACAGAAAGAGTTAACATTAACCAGATTTTACTGCACTAACACAAAGTTAACACTATCAACTAAAGAACCTTTCACATTAACCACACTGCAAGAGCATCAGCAAGATCTTAATCTCAGCTCACGTCTTCTCCGAGAAAACTTCTAAAAGTGCATGAATAAAAAGCTATCTGAATTATCTAGACTCAGTTATAAGAAGCTTCTTAAAACAGTCTCTTGCAGAATTCTGGGTCCTCTCATAATTAGGATTCCAGGCAAAATCCCACCCCACGAAAGAACCAAAATACATTAAAGTTGCAGCATTTTTTGTACTCCTTCCTTCAGGACAGCCTCACAGAGAACACATTTCAGTAAATCTGAGCATTTCCATAAAAGAAAAATTAGATCTTAGATCTACCACAACTTTTCTGTCACTCAGCAGCAAGGCTTACCTTTGTCCCACGTACCCACTCACTGGAAGTAAAACACAGTGGGACGGAAAAACAGAAGCAGACAAAAATATTAGTCATGCCTGACTATAAACATTCCTATAGACTGCTTATTATAATAAAATGCAGCGTGCTGCCCTGCCACGAGACAGGGAATGTAACACATTTCTCCTATTTACTTGGCCAAGTGCAAGCAGGGGCAATTGTTGCTAATGCTGCCTCCGATGGTTAAAGCAAAGGAAACACTGGAGAGTATCTTAGAAGTTTTCCAAGGTACAGCGTTGCAAAATAATTTCACCTGGACCCATCTACCCTTCTGTATTTCCCAAGCGACAAACACAACTCGCACGAGACCCAGCAAGGACTCCCATTAAAACTGTGCTTCGAAAAACCCAAGAACCACTAGATGTAACCTGTGGAAAACAGTGACCATTGGTGTTTCTGAGAATGCCAACCCCCAGACACAGGGAAAGGGGAAAGAGAATCCTTCCCCTTCTCCAACCTCAGAAAACATCATCCAATTTCACTCCACAGTTCAACCGCTGAGACTGGCAACACCAGTCCTGCCCTCACAAGCTCCGCACGCAAAGCTGAAAGCCCATGGCACTTGGGCGCTTTTTTAAGTATAATTGAGCAGCGATTGGGTAAGAGCAAGTTGCTATTTAACACACCTCAGATTCCCTCTCTTTATTTCATACCTGCTTCACTGTTAACGCTGCCGTGGCATGACTGTTACGTAAACAGCACTAGAATGGATTCAATTCTCACTGCCAAAGCATGTCCAAGGTGTCAGCTAAATGCTTAATTAAGGATTCTTCAACTAAGGCAGGAGGGAGCACAGCCAGTTTCCCCAATCCCGGCTCAAAGCGTTCATTTGCTCTGTTTAAAAGGAACACATTCACTGCAGCGAGTGGCACAGTTTCACTTGAATGTATTAGACTCAACAACTGAATAAGGAAGAAGTGGGGCTAAGAAAACAAGAATTCAAATTATGGTAAGCTCCATTATATTAAGAAACCTTGGTGAGTCTGGCAGATTTCCACTGCAGAGATCTGAGATGTTCCCCATATAAAAAAATCCACTATTTTGCCAGGGGTCCCTGTTTGTATGGCAGGGACAGCCAAATGCACCACACAACCACCTCCACTAAAAGTTTAGGATCCTGCATTAACCTAGCAACAAAGGTGGGTTGGCACCAGGCAGCCAGGCCACGGGTCAGGCTTGAGCCCCCCTCTCGCTCCACTGGTCCCAGCAGAAGAGGTCTGCTGAAAAGCACGGAGGGCTGGAAGCGTCTGAACTCAGGATGAGTGTCCACAAAGAGCCGGCTTCTGCCCAGAGTGCTGTTAATATCTGTGCTCTGACACACACCTGCAGGCAGATGGAACTGGAAGAAGCAGTTACCAATTCCACTTCGCGACATCCTAGTTTAAAATCTGCAACATTAACAGGAGCTGTCACTTACTCCAGCTTATGCAAGCTCACTGGGCTGTGAACTGCAGCGGCGTAGGGACGGATACATGATCCGCCCTGCTAAGCCTGCTGTGCAGGCAATAATCCGCAGCAGGAAAGAAGGAGCCGTAATCGCTTTAGCTGTTCCAGATACATCCACTTGCAATCCGGAGCCAAAGCACCGTCACAACTGTCTCTGTAATTTTATCGTATCACCATATCAGATACAGAATTCCCTTCAGAAGACCAGGTGCTGCAACAGTATTTAGCATTCAGAATAACCACATTCAGCAGCATGAAATGCTATTCATGCCCTACATTACCTTTAACATATGGGATTAGTTCCTGAAGCTAGGTAAAAATCCAAGAGTCATTTCAGTTTGTCCACATCCTCTTTTCCAGTGACTGGCAGTATTTATAAGCCATCTATAACTCGGAACCAGGGCACAGTTAAAGAAAAGACTTCTTTGTGTTACAGCCTTGTTTAAACATCTGCTCAAAACCTCAAGAAAAGAGGCAAGTTCAGCAGCTAGATTCCCTTCCCTTCAAAAGAAAGGAAAAGCAAGTAAATGCATTCTCTCCTCACACCGCTGAGCTTCTACATAAAAACACAGATCAGTAATGCTGTACTTTGCCCTGCAGAGAGAAAGGATATCTGGCTTTTCTCCAGCATCCTTCAGCAGTGTTCTGCTCCACGGTTTCCCATCATTACTCAGGGTGCTACCAAACATTTGGGCAGTGTCACCTAAGCACTCCTCGACCTGTGAGGAAACATTTGTGCTCCAGGTTTTCCCCCAGATGTGATCAGAGCAAGTCTGTCTTACTCTTGAACAAATATAAACAGAAGCACTCCCATGCACAGCCTTTGATATTTATGGCCATAACAGACTTCTGTTTATCTCGGGCCCTGCTGCCACTTGTTGAGTGTAAGCACGCCTTGACTGCTACGCTTCAGCCTCTTTAAGTGATCTTACATGAGCACCAAGAACCCACTAGAACGGGCAGTTTAGATTTCATCATCTAAACACGCTACTTATAAAGCTAGATGCACTGCAAGCCTGTAACCACAGGAGTAAGTTTCACCGGAAAAAAATGAGCTCCATCGTATCCATGAGAACATCCTACGAGCTCCCAAGTCCCGAGCTGTCCACCCAATCCAACCTGCTCAAACCTGCTTATGGATGAAGCTCTGGATTACGAGCTCGGTGTTCAGGCTGCCCTCTAACCCACAGCTACACCCCCGGCCGGGTCCGCAGCCCGCAGAAGTGCCGCGACCCGCCCGCTTCCTTCCCGACGCCGC